ACACCGTGGTGCTGAGCTCACAGATTAGCTTTATATCAGCACCAGAGCCACAGGGGGGAATGCCCAGAGGCCCAATGACCCTAAGACCACCCCAATGTCAGACAGCACACTAGTGTCATGATATATACCCAAAATGTAATATATATTTGGAAACCTAGTAACTCACTGATCATTTTCAGAGTGGTAGCCGTGATAGTCTGTATCAAAAAAAAAAAAACAAAAAAAAACGAGGAGTACTTGTGGCACCTTAGAGACTAACAAATGTATTTGGGCATAAGCTTTCGTGGGCTAGAACCCACTTCATCGGATGCATGGAGTGGAAAATACAGTAGGAAGATATATATACACACATAGTACATGAAAAGATGGGGGTTGCTTACCAATTCTAACGAGACAATTCAATTAAAGTGGGCTATTATCAACAAGAGGAAAAATCACTTTTGTAGTGGTAATCAGGGTGGCCCATTTCAAACAGTTGACAAGAAAGTGTGAGTAACAGTAGGGGGAAATTAGCATGGGGAAATTAGTTTTTAGTTTTTGTAATGACCCATCCACTCCCAGTCTTTATTCAGGCCTAAGTTGATGGTGTCCAGTTTGCAAATTAATTCCAGTTCTGCAATTTCTCGTTGGAGTCTATTTTTGAAGTTTTTTTGTTGAAGAATTGCCACTTAAATCGGTTATTGAGTGTCCAGGGAGGCTGAAGTGTTCTCTGACTGGTTTTTGAATGTTATAATTCTTGACATCTGATTTGTGTCCATTTATTTTTTTGCGTAGAGACTGTCCGGTCTGGCCAATGTACATGGCATCATTAACACTTTTGCATGACGTATACACAATAAACCCACAAAGGACCTCATAGATAAGTGCTGCGAATATGTTCTTTAAAAGTATTTGGCAATCAGGGTCTAAGCCATGCCTGTTCCAGAGAAAGGAATGAGGTTCTGATGTAAATTAAGCAAGGAATCACCCAAAAACAAAGAAAAGCACATTTACATGCAAGGTAAATAAAGCCCTCAGGAGAGCAAGTGGAGAAAGATGAGCACTTAATTTCAAAAGGGGATAGAGACTACATCCTGTGACACCCTATACCCCATATGACGCCCTGTACCCCATGCTCATCCCGTTATAGGATTATGGTATACTGTGTGCAAAGTATACCTTGTGAGCTAAGTTTCCTCTAGGCTGCGCCGGGGCTCAGGGCTGCGGCAGGAAGAGGCGCCTTTCCCTGCCGGCTCCAGCACGGAACTGCCCTGGACTTGCCACGGCTGGGGGAGAGGCACCTCTTCCCCCCAGCCCAGGTGGTGCTGCAGGGGAGAGAGGAGAAAGCTGGGGGGAATCCTCTCCCCCCGCCATAGCCCCTGGGCAGCCTGCATCCCAAACCTCTCATCCCCGGCCCCACCCCAAGCCGGAGCCCTCAACCCCCTCAGCACCTCAACCCTCTGCCCCAGCCCTGAGCCCCTCATCCCCGGCCCCACCCCGGAGCCCTCACCGCTCCTCCACAATCCTCTGCCCCAACCCTGAGCCCCACTCCCACACTCCGAATCCCTCGGCTCCACCCCCACCACATGAATTCACCTCCATATCGGTGCGCATAACAAAATTCATTGAGCACATGCATGGGAAAAATTAGAGGGAACACTGCTTGTGAGATATCATTTGAAAACTCAATCTGCTGAATATTATCATCTTGTTGAAATGTGTGCAACACTGCACGTGAAATTATGATTTTACTTTATGTTTGTTACTGAAATATGCTGTAATTCTGGGCAACACCCTCAGACCATCTTCACAAAGCCAAAGCATGCCAGCTGCGTGCTAAAAGGCCATTACCTGATTAATCGGAGATTCACCAGCAGGGGAGTTGTAAACAAGAAATTTACAATTCTCCTGATGGTTGACAGCTCATGTATACCATGGAACTGCCTGACCCCATGACCCAACAAAGACTTTTCCACTACAAAGGGTCAGAGTATAAAAAGGAGAGAGAGTGACTGCCTCATCACTTCTCCTCCCCCCTCTCTAATCACAACAGCAAGATCACTTGAAAGACAACAGAAGCATCATTGAACTGGGGGGAGTAGTCCTAGCTGGAAGGCTTTTTGGGTGAGAGAAACCTTTTTGCTTTCAAATCTTATTTAGCTTGGTAAAGTTTAGGAATTAGCTTGCATGTTTATCTTTTCATTTCTTTTGTAACCAACTATAACTTATATGCCTTATCACTTAAAACGTATCTTTCTCTAGTTTAATGTTTTATCTAAACCAGAGTGTTTGACTGAAGTGTTTGGGAAGCCTCTGCTTGAGATAACAAGGCTGGTTGGGCATTTTCGTTACCCTTTGCTGGAATCACAAACTAATCTATAAGCTTGTACGGTCCAGTGGGATACTGAACAGTACAAGACACATTTCTGGGGGGCAAGGCTGGGTCTGAGGGATATGCAGATGTAGCCCTGTATCTATTCATGGATGGCTGGGCATAGCATTCACGTACTCAGCTGGGAGTGATTTTGCACACTGGTGGCTGTGAGTGATCAGAGCCTGGAGAGGTCTGCTATTCACTAGCAAAGCAGTGTAAAAGGCA